GTCGAAGCTCAGTGTCGCGGGCGCAGGTCTGGCCCAACGCCAGCCTGACACAAATAGACACAAACACCAAGTTTTTAATTGACTAGGTGTATGAGATTCTATCGCTCATTGATTTCGTTATTCTCAATTCTGTATCGCTTTATAAAATATGGCAAACATAGCGAAAAATTGTCGAAACACTATTCTACCCTTGTCGCATATTTTTCTAGTTTAATATGTATCGTGGTATTAAAACGATTTATTTAATTATAATATTTAGATTTAGTTATGTTTTCGTTAGGTACTTTTTAGTAAAAACAATTATTTTTATTAATGTCTTAATCTTGATAGAAAATGTATGTAATGTTAAAGAAGTATTTAAACTTGATTTTTTATCACTCCTTAGCTGTATTATTTGTGTATGTCTGTTTTCTTTTTGCGAAATTAATAGACATATTTTTAAACAATTTTTATTAAACAAACGGAACACAACGTATTATTTTATTTCGTGTTTTAAAACGCTGAATGTTTTATTTAAATTTGTACCTACTACTCGCGTAAAACACAATCTACCAACCAATACATAATCCGAACATAACGTAACGTTCCTACTCCAAAATTTTTTTTTAAATTACAAGTTGTCGCCTCAGAGGCCTTTGATACTAACCGAGCACCATGTTGCGGCTAGACCAGGGGTGCCCCGTAAGGGGCATCGACCACGGATTGGACCGGAGAAAGATTTTTATTGAAGTGAAGCGGCCAAAGACCTATTTCGTCCCAAACCCCACAAGGGTATATATAATGTTATTACACCAATTGAATAATCATGAAAAAGACATGACATTTGGCATGGAGGTCCTTCGGGCGAAATCTATTAGATTGCACGAGTTAAACGAATGTGCATTATTTATGACTTCATTTTGTTTGCGCGGATTTTATGCTACGGCAGTGTGTTTGAACGGCGTAGGGTTGTGACATATTACTTTTTTAATGTATTATTGTTATGATAGATAATATGATTTCAATATTGCTACCATTCAATATACTGATTTCCAGACGTATAATATGTTTTAGAAACATGTTGGATCCAGTCGGAATCGAACCCACGACCCGACAATTATTTCCCACACATTGCTACCATTACACCAACGAGAAAATATGTAGAAATGCTAAACAAAAATTACGAATCATTACTACAGTAGAACATTGGTCGTAATGTAGCAAGATTTAATAACCAGATATAGAAATTTAGTTTAAACGGAATACAGTAAATGTTCGTAATATTTAGAATTAAAAAATGTTTCGATGTTTCAAAAAGCTAAGGTAGTTTACGTTCCATAAAAATAAAGCATAAACAAAAGTCATAAAAAAATATTATTGTTTAAGTACTAGGCGATGTTTCAAATGCTTTACGATAACCACGTTTTAGATTAAAATTAATGTTCTAGTACAATTCACTTTAATGTTTTATTTAATTTCATTAGATGGAAAGCAATGTAGTTAAGTCTAATGTAACCTAAATAAAATGGCAAGCAAAGCAAAGAGAGCTCGATCTCAAAGGGTAAATTTATATAAAGCTGAAGAGTTTATATGTTGGTTTGAACGTGCTAATCTCGCGAACTACTGGTTGGAATTAAAAACATATATAGGTGTTGGTTAGAGCATTCATCGAGGAAGGCATATGCTATAAAACATCGCCCTGTGACCGATAAAAGCGAAGATACAGCGGGAAATGCGAAAAAAATGAGAAAATTATTCATGTTGGGATTCGTTACGCTGCGAAAACGGTTCTAGATATGTATGAAAAAATAATTCGTCTTTAAATGATCTAAAAGAATGTCCGAGACCGACGGACAAGAACGGCGAACGCGACCGACATGGTGGGTAACAGCACAAATCTAGAAGAGGAGGTTTTCAAAAACAAAATGTGTATGCTTCAAATATTCTTCGCGTACGAAGTCACTGAGACAGCTAGTTCGATAATTTATTGCATTCGTGTAATTATTTTTAAAGTAGTTTTTTTAATACTGACTGTAATATCCGCGAGTAGTGCACATTTAAATAAAACACTTGAAGTGTTTTATTTAAATGTGCACTAAAGTAATGTAAAGTAGTTTTTTGTAACCTTTCAGTGTTTAGTTACATTTGGGTTATATTTTTGTATAGTCTGTGTTGACATTATTAAATTTACAATCTAATTAATGACCTCCGACCTACATTGAAGCGTGGAAATCTAGACTAGATACAGTGAAGTCATGCATTGTTCTAAGTCCAGTGTAATTAGATCCCCACCTAGTTAGCTGTGGATAGACGGGCCTTGTCAACAGTATGGGGGGGAGAAGATTTCTTTGGGTCTATTATAAATGGTTGATTATATCTTTCACTTTTAGTATAGGAGTGACACTGTTTGTTAACGTTATAATAGATTTATATTAAACCTACTTTCTACCTTAGGACATTTAAGTAGACAAAGAAATGTTACTTTTGTTTACTTATAACAAAAACTACGATATTTCGTAATATACCTACTGTTTTTCGCGTATGCGTGTCCTGTTAAAGTAATGTGGAAAAACACTAGATTTTCTTTACCTTATATCGTATTTGTTTAATAAACTTCTTCTTCTATTCTTTAAAATAACTTTTAGCTGCCAAACCCTACTTATAATGCCTATGAGCTTTGAAGTTTAAGGCTAACTTTGTTACTTAGAGGAAAATTATGTATTCTCAGTAATTTTTACTGGAGATTATTTCAACGTTTCAATGGACGATTTTGCTTCAAGATAGCCTAGCTTGGTCGATAAAATATATACATTTTATGAGGTTCCTCGAGGTTTTCGAGATGTATGTCTGTCTTAATTATGAAAGCAGTATTCGCTTAGTTGATGAATCGTCAACATTTTATTTGAGCTACCAAACGAAATATATTTTTCTATAAATTAGTTGAATATTGTTCGTGAAATTTAAAACGCGATGTATATTTGCTAACTTATTCTTAACTGCGGCCAATAATTCGTTAATGATAAACCATTTTTAATCACGAAAACTATGGATAGTATTTGATCGTAAGAGCCGATTTTATAAAATAGTTTTAATTGTGAGTAGAATCCGACCTGATACCCGTTTATGGATAAAAGCGTAAAAGTATATAGGAACTAACATAATAAGAAAGTTCAAACCGCACTTTGCGATGTTGGGCGAGTTAAATATAATTTTAATTACACATTCCTCACAATGGCGCCGTTACCCGACTTGAAAAATAAATAGTAACTAACACTGTTTATTGGCAGCATTCGGCGAGTTTTATTTTCTCAAAGATACTACAGTTCGACTGTTACGATCGTATAGAATATACAGAGTGATTCAAAATTTTACGTTCGCTGTAAAAATATTTAATAATACATTATATTTTTTTATTGTAATATTTTGACTGATAAAGTTGTATTAAACGTATTGTCTGTAAATTAATATCATTATTTAACACATAAACCGTTTAACCAATTTGATTTTTCCTTTTCAAAATTAAAAAAATAACTCCATAAATTTGAAACAAGACTTCAAGAATTCCAGAATTTAAAAATTTACCTAGTGTTATTTAAGCTTACCTACACTTAAAAAATTCCCAGGCGTTAATTAAACTAATTGTCATATTTAGTCCGTTTGTATATTTGAATACTGTAAATATTACTAATATAATAGTCAACATTTCGGCTACTGTAAAGAAATGTTTAGAAAACGTTTGACATTAAAAAAAGTGAGTTATTCGAGTCGACTGCAATCGTAAAGAATAATTCCCGTGCCTCCCGACCCCTGACATTTGGTGAGGTCAGGAGGGCAGCGCTCTGTCGACCTGGCGGAACCCTCGAAGCCTGGCAGCGCCTGCCATCACCCCCCGGTGAAGTTACGTAAATCGAACTTAACTAGAACAACACATGGGACGCTAATTCTATTTTGATCTCGACTTACTTTAGGAGCAATTCGATGGTGACCACAAAATCTTTTAAACGACAATGTTAAAGATTATAATAGATACGCTAATCTTACTTATTACTTTTTACATTTCTTTTAAAAAAATCTTTTCGACATTTCGTGTTCACTTGGGTTGGGTAATTAACTAGACTTTAGTTGTAAAGCAATGATTCGCTTAACAAATTCATAAAGGACGCTTTTTAAAGTTATTAAGAAATCCATTTTGAGACAGATTTTTCTTGAAAAAATCTTTTCACAAGAAGCCACTTAACTAATTATTTATGTTAATTGGAAATGGATAAACTAAGTGTTTTTTTTTTATGAATATCATCAGAACGCAACTCTAACATCCGGTTTCATTTAGGACGAGTAAATATTAGTAATATTGTTTTGTTTTTTACAAACTACACTAAAACTAGGCAATAAAAGATGAATTGGAAGCAAAAGAGAAGAAAAGAAAGAACTCTCCTACCGTAGGCACGCCCACTCCTGACTGTTCTTTTTTTACATTCATAAAAGACAGGAGCCAGCTATGAATGACATAAACATTGTTTAACTGAATACCCAGCCAAACTAAGGTTACAGTGTGTCAAAATCAAGGATATTACAAGATTAATTTTACGTCCAACCAGTCGACGGCTAAACAGCTAGCGACATCTGTGTAATGATATCTTTAATAGAACTAACTAAATTATTTCCTATAACATAATGTCGGTCAATCATGCATTGATCTAATGATGATGGTGTCTGGTAGTGAAAGAGTTTGGAGACAAGGGTTAAGCGTAGACAAAATCACGATAGTGTCGTGTCGTTTGTTAACGTAAGCTCGTTTCAAATGTGTCTTACATAAAGCGGGCCGAACACAGACACTCCCAATCACACACTATCGATCGAAAAAAGGACCCCAAAGCGATCCCGATACCACAATTACATAATTACGTGCGGCACGCGAAAACCGCCCGTAAAACTTGCGAGCGGACGGAAAGAATTCCCATGCACAACGGCTATTTCGGCGCTGCGCCGGCGGCGCTTGCAACCTTGAATCGAGAACGCACCTTTAATTTTAGCCGGATAACCTAGATACGGGAGCCATTTCGAGCGCGATCGATAATCGCATGCGCGGCTCGACTCACGGCGACACGGGCTTGTGGAGCGGCGGACCGCGACCGACTGGACGGCTCCACATCTCCCCGGTCTCCTCTATCGCGGCTCTGTTTCACTGTTACTTCTCATCTCTAGCCACACTGAAGTTTCAGTCACTGGTGCTGAGTTCTCTTACTTGTTCCTCCTGTATGTCATATGATAGAAATAAGAAAATGTGTACATAAACATATGTATATGTATGTATGTTCGTTGAACGTATTCGTGCGTTTTAGATATCTTAGACCGTAGCGGTTATATCGCGTTGCGAGCGGAACGCGTCCTATTTCTTTTAATTGCAATTCCACCTATTAAAGCAAATAAAGGAGGGAAGAGGAGTTATTATTGATAGAGGACAATAGAGGAGAGACTACTCTACGCTTTCGATATGCAATGAGAAGAAAGTATTAATTCAATAACGGTGAAAAATCACTCTGAACAATTTTCACAGTGAACGAATAATACTTTCAGGCTGTCTCGTCTGAAACGCGCACGCGCGCTACAGTAACGATCCACGCTGATCTTGTAAGAACAGGTGTTAACGTAGGTTTAAACAGCTCTAACCAAGTTTATTGATGATGACCTTACTATACTATAATTGCTGCTTATAACCAGACATCGTTTAAGAAATAGCAATTATATAATTAAATTCTACTCTCGGTGAGAGAAATCCATACGTTGATTAGTATGAGTAAAAATTAATTTTACCGTACAATTTGCAATTACCATGTGAAACATCAATTCCTAAACACATTTCTAATTCTACTTGTGAGCCCCGCCCGGCCAAGTGATTCTAATGTTTTTCTGAAAATCGAACCGAACCTACCACGCTTCATTATTTGCTCGATCATACATACTATTAAGACATTAGTATTTGTTATTGTTAATGACATAACTTGAGAATTGTTACTTTATTTAATTAACATAAAATTTCGCTATAAGCGGAAGGTTATAAGCCTTTTTTATAAGAAGAGTATATCACTATGTGCATATGCACTGAAAAAGCATTGTATGTCTTATAAACAATATCTATATGAATTTAACCTTCTACATTAATTCGTGTAGGTTGTGTTCTAGCAAGGTTTCTCACTTCCGCAATTTTCCGGAAACGCAAGGTTATGGTATTCATCAGATAAGGCAAATATTCTATCCCATGATATAGATTATTAAAATTTTGAGTCTGTTTCTATCCAAGTGTAATATGAACATGATACCTTGTAATATTTTTTGGCAATGTAGCTTATATCTTGCAGCAATACTACACTATGTTTCAGAAATCCAAGCGTCTATATCTCGTATTAAATGATATCATAATAATTAAAAGCACAAAAAAAAATAAGAGAAACACGTCGTTTATTAATAATCACAATCTTGAAGTTTCCAATCATTTTCATAAGACCAGTTCCATTTAAAATGCATGAGACTACAAGCAATTGCGTTTGTAACTACCTTTTAATACTACAATAAAACATCATAAATTTGACGTAATTTTATTTATTAAAAAAAAACAATTTGTACATTAAACAATTATTTTATAACCTGTATTTCATATTGTTAAAAACAAATGAACACCGATTATTAATAAACATAAATCCAGAGATAAAATTACTTTCGAACATTATTAATTTGCTATTTCCATACAGTATTGGTGTGCTTGCGACGTTTACCTACGAACTACATAACAATTATTACTATATACAAGTTAAAATCTCATTTATCACATCATTCATTCAAAAATATAGCTTAAACTCTAGTCACAATTTTGCGACATTTCTACTAATCAGATGCCATTGAAATATTAATGCCCTCTACAGATGCTTTAGAGTTTGTGAATAAAATTTGGCGATAATATGATTACAGATAACCGCTTATTTTTATATTAATTTCAGGTAATTTTTAAAATGTTTAGTAGTAACTATTTGGAGGTAGTTTGAAAAAAATGGGCCCAAACGATGCTTTGTCATAGGTTTTAGAGAGATCACACAATTATATAAAAAAACATTCGCGCACAATTCATAACTTTATGGCTAATCGAATACAGTATATATTTATTGACGGCAATAAATTATCTTTAGATGCCTTAATACTATCAATTGATTTATTGTACTGATTTCTCTAAACTAATACTAATTTCAACAACTAAGGAATAACGATGGTGTTTTTTCTAACTTAAAATGTTTTGGTAATGTCGATGGAGACTTATCCGTCGTTCCTAAGGATTGGAAGGTTAAGAAGATTCTGTCACGAGAATAAAATGTTATATAGACAGTTCGAGGTTAAAACTACAGAGTAAATTAGTAGTTAGTTCAAAATGAAATTTGAAAATATTAATATTTAAATTCGTCACAATAAATTGCAAAAGAAAAAATAGGATAACTATAATCACACGTTATCCATTTTATTGTCCGACTCGATACTAATTCGCCGAAGACAAAGTAATTGCAGATCACATTTTCGGAAAAGAAGATATCACAGATGTCGCTACAATCGGTCTGTGGTCGGACACAATAGATTTCTTGGTGACATACTAGAACCGGTAACAAGTAAAATTGGCACTAACAATGATTCTAACAACGTTATACATATTTAATAATACTGTGATGTTGTGTAATTGATTTTGTATAAAAATAAAAAATTCTAAACGCAGCTTAAAATACACGATAACCAAAAGACCAATTGGTTAAATCCAAGCTGTCGTAAACCTCGTTTCCTTTGGCATAACTTTACTAGTCTTCTAGAAAGGCAATCGCTGACCATCAGAAAGCTGATAATTGAATTGATAACCTGCCTAGATCTTGCTATAGTTTCGGTAGATGATGATTTTGTGGTCATTTACTCACAAAATTGATGACAAAGCGTTAAGAAGCGTATTAAACTCTACTGTATTTGAAGTTCTTTCCTAGATCAGCGTAAGATTCAATTTTTATTGCATCCTCCGTTTTATTAATTCTAAAATTAAGTACCTGACCCGGGAACATTGTTGCCGTATTGCAAGCCGAAAATTGAGAGAATCACGAATGCTAGACCTAAGAATACAGAGCCTAAGAGATCTCCGAGAGCGGTGAGATACGGAATCGCTGCGTTGTCGGGGTCCTTCTTCTTTTTCCACATGAAGTGGATAAGAATGTAAGCCAGGTACAGCAATACCATTACCTGGAAAAAGACATTTCTCATTACAATCATAAAATTCATCATATCATTAATTATCAACGACTACTTTATATTTTAGATTATTTTACTTTATATTATACTTTATGATCATATCATTGTTTTCCGGCTGTTCAGCCGACGTAAGCGAGAAGAGGTTCTTTACGTTTCGCCATCACTAGATGTTGTGAGCTCCTCGATTGCTCGAAGAATTATGTCAATGTGAGCAATCAAAGAACCTCTTCTTGTTTACGTCGGCCGAACAGCCGAAAAAATCAATGATATGCTGAACGGTACCCGTGCAGGCCTTACACAATTTATAAAATTTATGTTGCATTACGGTACCTGCACTACACTGCACATCACATAACAGATGCCGAAAGAGACTTGGATGGAGACGAAGCCCTGGTAAACGAAGTCAGCAACAATCATAAACACGATTTGACCGCAGACCGCCAATATGAGTAGCATTCGTGCAACCTTTGCTGCTGGCGCTAAAATATTAAAATTTTCAAATGTTATTCAACTTCTTTTACAAAAGAAGCTTTAAAAATCTTTGATTTAACTTATTAACTCACTTCCATAGAACAGAGTTTTCCACGGCCACTCAATGATTCTGGTGTTTTCTGGCAAAACTCCCGGTATTGCAGTCTGATGGAGATGGGTTGCGAGACGGGAAGATTGCACGCAGACCAGGTTACCACCGATTCCATTGACAATTGGTTGGAACACCTCGTAACTTGGGTACCTATCCACAGCTTGGTCAAGTACGATCCCTCCGATACTGTAGATATAGATTTTTTATGACTTAAAAATAAATAATGACAAGTGTAGAAATTCTGTTAAGAGGATGAGAAGATGGACTAACCCGCTAATAAAGAGAGCAGAGATGACCGGAGTCCAGCCGGTGGTTAAAACCTTCTTAGTATATTTATTGCGCCAGACAATCAACACCCAGATCGGTAGCAGACAGTAATACACACAGAGTAAGGTTATTGGCTGCCAGAGGGACGTTTCTGAAAATGTGACAAGAGAAGAGAATTAGCTTTTGGATTCTCGTAAAGATATATCCTTCGAAACTAATCAGAGTGAAAACTGACATACCGTGATGCAGCCTTGACGAAAGAGCTCCCTCCCGACCTAATCTACCTATACCAGTTTCAAGAAACCGTATATGTCTATCTTTTAAGATTAACTCGCGATTACGTGACGCGGGCGATTTCACAGGCATATTAACGAGGGGTAAACGGGAATTCACGTTTACCCCTCGTGGGGCATGGGGCGAACACATTTTTGTGTTCGTTTCACTGATCCGTTCTTGTAACGGACAAGTAGTTGATCAGACTTCTGTGCCCTGCCCGACCGAAACAATTTTTTGTTTTCCTGGGATTCGAACCCAGGACCTCTCGCGCTTAACGCAATGCTACGCAATACGCATTTGGCCACAGAGGCGGTCGCGGGCATATTAGCATATCATATAATGAATCCCTACGAAATAATTACTTTCTACAAATAGAATAGAGATATATAAACATCCTACTTACTTATCTGTTCAAACATATACTGCGCTGTTAATGCGAGCACCGAGTTGCTTACAATATCACCAATAGACGCAGCCAAGGGAGTCGCCACGTTGTCAGGATTCAGTTTGAACTTCTGTGACCCGAAGATGACGATCACCATCACGAAATCTGGAATTTGTCAAATGTTAAAATGTTTGTACCATTAGCTTTTTATTTTTTCTCATATCCTCAATGTGGGGCCAAATGCACTCATATTTCTATGTATCTTTTACTGATATCTACATCTTAGTAGTTGATCAGACTTCTGTGACCAACTCGATCGAAGTAATTGTTTTCCCAGAATTCGAACCCACGACCTCTCGCCGATATTCTACGTAACGATTTATTGATAATAATCGATTATGATTATTATTATTAAATCGTTATTAATTCCATGCTCCATGGTTATGAAATTTATAACGATTATATCATTGTTTATTGAGTCTGCTTTAAAAAGTATAGTTAAGTGTAGTTGTATACCTGGAAGTCCTAAATAGTTATGAAATGCCCATTTAGAGAAAGACGGGCTCGTTATAATGCTAATACCCACATCCCCCATCAACTAACCTTTCCTAATCAATGTATACATTTTTAAATATGTTGGACTTCCTCCGGAAATCTGGACATTAAATGGCTATAGGGAATATCGAAATTCCATCAAGTTGCGTTTCGGATCCCGCCTTCCGAATATCCAAAGCCAATATAGTTCGACAGCGCATCTTGTTTAGATGTTATATGGCAGAGGTATTTCACCTACCATCAAATTAACTCTATCTGTCCTCCTCTATCGTAAAAAGGTAAATACTAACCCAGCACAAAACATGTTGTGGTAGCTGTGAAGATCGCGGATGAGATAATCAGAAGCACATAGTTGCCGTTCAGTGCCTGATCGGTGATAGTGTTCACTACAATTGCGAATAGTGACACAACAGTCGCAGCCACTATTGCTTGCACCTAAACAAAAAGACATTTATGAAATAGACACAAAACCAAGAATTTTATAAGGGTTGGGTTTTCAACTTCGGTCGTTGTACGTTAAGGTGTGGGGAACCACTTTTGAACTACGACAGCCTGTCCCTAGAAAGGCCGATGTCTAGAAAGACAATTGGTCATCATGATGAGATGATCATCATGATGACCAAATGATGAATCATGATGAGATGATCATCTCTTATGTTGCACGTTTTTTTAAGATAAAACATCCTCAATTACAATGACGGAATAGCTCGTAAAGCCAAGAAGCTTTAAAATAATATTTGACTTTTCAAGTAATAGTATCGGGGGAGTCCTGTTATTGGTGGAAACGAAGATACAAAATACTTAATCAATAAAACTTGTCTGTTCGTTCTTAAACGTCTTAATTCAAGTAGTCCTAATGAACAAACTCCTACGCAAGAATTTCAAACAAACCTGTAAGGATGGTGACAGATAATATTGGCACTACACCTTCAGTAACCGTACTGCTATTCAAGAACCCAATCATTGATAGTCTTGCGCTTCTAAAGATCCCCGTTATCCGTAATAGTTGTATTAAAAAAATTACATATACAATTAAATATATATATATATATATATATATAGTACGATAGATCCTTGATCAATCAAATTACCTGAACTAGTGATATGTTTCCAACTACCATTGAGATTACTTCGCGCGGCGAATCCATGTTACCAAGATTCGCCTGAGTGGAGAGACGAGAAGCCAAGCACATATCCAGATTACCTGCAAGTATACATCTGATAAGTGTTGTAAATTATGATCATTTTTAATAGTAGAGAAGATATAAGAGAAAAAGTCTATGAAAATGAACAAATGTTTGTTACTCTTTCACGGCTTAGCGACTAATTAATACATTAATTTTAATTTTAGCAACCCTGCAGGAAAACTCCTTTAAAGTTTTGGATGGTTTAAAATAATAAAAATACATAGTTTGTATTCTAGGCCAAGATAAGCCTTATTTTTTTACTCAATAATTAACCGTAATAAACTTCAATGTAACCCTGTGGTGTATATTAAAGTGTATACATTGTTTTGAATCTACACATACACACATGTATATGCGGCTTGTTTAAAGAATTTGATCTCTCTTGTGATATAAACAAGACGTGTCAGTATAGTGAAAACATAAGTATAGTTTTTAATAAGTTAAATGTCTAACAAAAGTGATAGTCGCAATCTCCCTTAAGTCTTTGAAAACGCAAATGTAACTTGAAAACTTTATTATTTTTGCTCTATAGTGTTGCGCTGTGTTCTGACTCGGTAGCTCAATTGGTAGAGCGGAACGCTGACGATGCCGGTTCAAGTCCTGCCCGAGTCGATTTTTTTTTCAATTTATTTTCGATTTTTAAAAATTTAACTTGTACATCAAGTACAGAATGAAAATAGAATTGAGTTTATCATCTTTAGCTCCTTCATAGTTTCCAGGACAAAGATTTGAATCTTCACAATGTATTATTAGGCGGTAAACATATCGTCAAATTTCAAATCAAAATTTCTTGTTGAACGCGTACTTAGCTGCTTCATATATTATGTTTGAACTCTAAAACTAACGTATCTGATACAAGCACAGACAAAAACAATTGGGACTCGAACCACAGACTTGAAGATTATTAATTTTTTGAAGAGTATATATTCCTGGTAACTACATATTCAAGAGAGACATTAGGAATTTTAAGATTGTCAGAAACGTCGCTGTGACGTTCTCTTTGATTCCCGCCCATCAAGCGAGAGGTCTAACGGCATGTGAGTAAAATTATATTAAACAAACACAACATAATACAAGAATAGCCATCTTTATATATATTAACTTAACAAAAGAATATTTTGACCGGACACAAATATTTCTTTTCTACAAAGCTATTATAACAGTTATTCTATCGTTATGTCTATTTAAATGTATTGTACCCTTAACGCCACCGTTTTCATATTTCCTGCATAGGCTGTTATTTTTTGCCATCATCGGTTATAATCGTATTGTTTTCTATAGCTTGTAGGAAAAACGTGTAACTCTAGTGTAAACGCGATAGTTTATGCTGTGTCTACATGCGAGGTTCTTTGGAATAACTTTTTCGGAAAAGAAAACTAACGGGAGATATGGACATAACAATGTACTTAAATAATATAATGAAATAACATATAAAGACAATTAAATTAAAAGGATTGACTATTGATTTCACGGTTTAATACCCGTGGCCACGGCTGCTGCAAAGCATCCGAAACGTTAGGCGGTAAACACGTTTAATTCGCGTTTTAAACTGTTAAAGAGTTATGTTTGAGTGTTGGATCGTTTACATCTTACCCAAGTTAACAAATACAAAATCACATACAGCATCGCTATGTGTGTATTATATATTTTTTCTATTTTCTCTACTTTATGGTTTTGTTAATTATAACGGAATCGTTATGAACTCAATTTTAGTAGATTTGAATATCTAAATCCAAAATAAGTCGACAGCGTCGCAATTTCTACCTCTGATTAAGCAAGAACCACGCTTATCTCACTTCCACTATTATCCACAAGCAACGATAAATAATCTCCATACATGTGTATTACACGTTTGAATTACACTGTAAGCTTGCGTTTGTGTACTAAGCATTACAAAGTGACAATTACATGGAAAATTGCACAGTAATAGAGGTTGGCAAATGACAGATTTTTATCGCGGACGTGCCTGAAGATGATTTTACAATCGCTTCGAGCCCATGTGCCATTGTTGTGCATCATCTAATTGCGGCATTTTATGACGTCACACGGTATTCGCTTGGCAATCGCTGAACATCATTTATAATCAAACCGTTCTTATAATTGTTTCTGGTTCTGGTTTTGAGCTTTAACATGATGATGTGAAATGACAACAAAAATAAACAGAATCAAAATCATTCAAACTCTCTCGATTCCTTCCTATATTTATTTTTACAAGATGCTAAATAGTTAAAAAGAAACTCACCCTTCAAACCCGATAGAGACGGAACTAAAACGAAGATCGCCGACACCTCCACGAACACATCCCAGTCCTGAAATTCAATAAGGTACAGTAAATATTTGGAACGTCTAAAATTGTTTTAGCAAACGATTTATACTTTTATAATTATAATTGTTTCTTTAAGATCTTTTAGTTCTTGTTACTGTAGTCGCGTTTTGTATACAAGATCCCTGTTTTATTGAATAAATGAATATTCGAATTGAAATATTCAAATTGAATGCCAGATCATGACAATTCATGTAAACAATTAAACGTTCTTTGAATCTTAAGTTTTTGTTCGTTTCGCGGTTCTGCTGCAAGGCTGTGTCGATGAGAGTACAAGTCGTATATTTTCTATTTTCCGATATAAGTCTATGCAATAACCCCTTAAGGAAAACATTAAAATACAAGACAAGCCACGATTTAACAACCAAGCGTAAAATCACAGGGAATCACCTGCTTTGTGGTCTAACGTAATCTATTGTTCTTATAGTTTCAACAATGAAAATTCGATTAGCAATAATCGTTCAGGATACATCTTTAACGACATACCATTTGATTGCTTGATGCGATATAAAACCGGAATGAAACATACATTTTACTCTTAAAGTTTTAAATGATAAATTTACGTGAAATAATAATATATTTTTTTTTATTACACAGATGAAAACTTATATTTTTTTTCTGACGTAAATTTAACTTATAATTGTTGTTTTTTCCTTATAAATCTTGCAATTGATCCTATAACTTATTTATTTTTTTACTTGAATATTAATTTGACGATTTTTATTAGAAACAAAGTAATAAAAATTGCTACATATTTCCGTTTGCCCCAATCTATTTGGTGTAACTGGAATGATTTCTTTAAACTTACTCTGACACTGCCAAGAACCAGCCCAGCCCCGATGGTACCGCAACCGGCTATGAAGAACGGCACGGCCACTTGCACCAAGGTGTTCCACCATCTCTCCTCCTTTTTCTGCCAATTAAAAAGATACTAATGAGATGCTATCTAAAGGTTTTTGACAATGTCGAAAAATAATTATGAATAGAAAAAATCTTTAAATGGAATTTATTAAAGAGTGCTTTCGTGTTTTATACATTATATTGTACATACATGATGTGTTTTATACGTGATGTATTTACCGGATTCAAACTCGTTATATTCGTTATTTAATATTTAACAACCAATAAATAACATTTATATATTCTAGCAAACCGCGTTTTTGTCCAGCTTATCTTTAATATTACAATAAACACTTCAGCTTAAATAATCACAAGAAAATAGTAAATCTTGTTTTTAAATAACTGGTTCGTTTTAGTAAACTTAATGATTATGTAATTGGCAATAAGATAAACGATAACCTTTACAAGATTTTCCGACTCATTCAATTCAATAGTCACGCTCATATTATAATCAACAGTATACAACCTTATACATATATTAAAGTAAGCATTATTGTTGTTTTACAAAGTTATTGATTTATTCCAAACAATTAGTGCATATACAGTTAAAAACTTGAGAATCTTATGATAATAATGAAAATTCTATTTAAGTTTTAAGCGTAATTATTTAGTTTTATACTAAAACCATTTCAAATAAGATTAAATACAATAATATTATACATTGATTTTCTTAACATGTCTGTAATATTAGAAAACATTATCAAGTATGATAATAGATTTCTTCACCATTCATTTCGTAATCTTCATAGTCTATTTCATATCCTAGTAAAAAATTCCACAGATATCTTTGCTTAACCTGAAAAATAAATAGACTAAAAGTAACTACCTATATCACATATTGTCCTATAAAAAACTAAACTTGTAATTGTATATGTAAAATGTCTTGTAAATTTAGAAGAATTGAAGTTATTAAATTCTGAAATGCATAATTCTATTTAAATAAAACACTTCAACGTTTTAAAACGCGATACATATTAACTTATTTAAACTTATTTAAAAAATATTTTAACTATGGCTCGATGTTTCTATGTTATATGGCTGAATGCTTTGAAGCAGTCGTGGTCGCGGGAGACTAAAGATGGAGGGTGTCTCTGAGGTCTAAGTAAAAAATTGCTACGCTATCCCCATCCGAAACGTCGGGCCGTAGTTAAAATAAATAAATACTTTTCAAATAACTTTAACAAATATATATCGCGTTTTAAACCGTTTAAATGTTTTAAATAAATGTGTACTATTCGCGTAAACTACAGACAGTATTTAATTCATCATTTTACTCAATAACACACAAATTCTAAAACACTACGGCTAGTGAACTGCGTAGCACCAGATCTATAATACTCATAAATTAAACAACATCGGTTTTTAATACAGTTTAAATTTAAAAAATCATAAAATATCTGAAAGAAAACTGTTAGGTATTAAGGTTTCTTTTGGATAGCCGAAGATAGTGGTTGTACGACCCAAAGCAACGATGTGTGGGCATTCAGATGTAAAATAGAAGTTCATCTTTGATATTTTATATAAAGATTAACGTAATTTTACAATTCTTCATTTACTTAGTCACCGCCCTTTGTACATTGTTTTCTTCCACTTTTTATTTTACTTTCAAGATAATGTTCTCGAAACGCTATACTAATTTATTTTCAAATAATTAAGCAGTAATTGGTTTTTTATTTATGATGTTACTTCAATATTAAGAGTCATAAAAGTGACATTGAAGTTTTAATTGAAATTTGCAAGGATATTTTTTTCTTGCGCGTGCCATAGACTCATTACAAACGCACTGTTTTTACCAATCTCATTGAGTTTGTCATTTCCGTAAAAAATACATTACATACAATACATTTCGCTTTTAGAACAGTTAAAAGTGTTTTATTTAAATGTGCACTACTGGCGTAAACTACAGACAGACCTTGTAAAAATACCAGTTATTGCTTATAACTAATGAGGCTATTTTTTGTTTCTATTTACTTATAATTTTTTTCTAAGTTTTTATTTAAGCGAGTAGGTAGTATTCGCGTAAACTGCAGACAATACTTATAATAGACACAACACAAAGAACATTGGCTCTTGACTAATGAAGTTTAGTTTATGTAAATGAACAATTTCTTTCTTAAATTGTGTAAGGCTTTCACGGCCATCACGTGCCAAACGTCGAGAACCTCTTCTCGCTCACGTCGGCCGAACAGCCCGAAGGCCAATGATATGCAATTTCTTTCTTATACATCGACTCACCCCGGACAGCGGTTGTTTTTCGGCGTCCTCGTCTGGTAGCCTCTTGTCGGACAGATCCACCGGACTTTTCAAGTCGCCGTTCGAATTTATGGATGCCATTGTGAAGCCGCCGTCTGGGCTGCCAATTTCATCTGGAACACAAACATTTTGGTTGAGAAACGTATTACTCGTATTGTTATTGTATATTGTATATGTTCTATCGGAGAGGCCGACAGAAGGCCGAGTGATCAGTCCACCCCATTTGTCTTTCACCCATTTCCCTATCCCCCCTTTTATAACTTAAGTTAGATAAAACATTTAAAGGGATTAAAACACGAAATGTATTAGTAAAAATTATTTAACCACCGCCTGACGTTTCGGATGACACTTCACGTTTAAAACCGTTAAAGTGTTTTATTAAAACGTTTACTACTCGCGTAAAGTAGAGACAGTATTAACTCGATTTTATTTAGTTATATGGCGTTCGTAAATTTGATTTTTGATTTAATCAACTTCAACGGATTAAAGATGATATACGTCCGAAGTAGGTTATATATTTTACTGTGTAGTCTTTAATATCGTTTGCATATTGTGACGCACAATTGTTTCAATGTTTTCATTGATGTATGTTTGTTACTTTATTATATAAAACAAATTGACTAACAAGCCAGATTTTAGTCGAACTATACAGACCCTATAATTATGTACGTGCGTACGTCCAAGAATCATTATTATAATTATAACCACGGCCGAAACAATGTCACTTAAAATAGATACTAATGTTTTGCTACTGCTCCACTTGCTTGATTATAACTATGCAATCTTCTATAACAGGAGTCGATTTTGAAGAACCAGGCAGCTGGGATACTCTTCTCTTATATCCTACTACTCTGAAGGTATGTCTTTTTTGTATGTTTGCCTACTAACGCACCTTTAAAATAGCGTATATGAACCAGATAAGGATGGAACCTGGGGGTTAAATTCCTTCGCCTTCCGCTTGAAGATTGGTGTTGAAGGGGGGGGGGGGGTTATATCTCCTCAACGTTTCATGAATAAATCTTTGCATGCCGTATGGCCACAGACGCATTATTTAGTAATTTATCTCGTTCGCGTACTTGAGATAGCATAGGAGAAAGAGTTTGCTTTTATCTGAATAATAATAATAATTGATAACATTTAAACTATATTGTGCCGTGAACAGAACCATCTAACCTGCTTATAAAATTCAATTCTAGTCTAGAAAAAATGAGTTGTTCGTAGGAATATTTAAAATTTATCCGGGTCACAAATCACCATCCACAGACAAAAAAGCCGTAAAGTGTTACTTGGTTGTTCGGTGTCAGCTGAATTTATGAATGTCCAAAGGTAACATAGACCGACAGCACATTTTGTTGCAATGTTTTGTGGCTGGGGTATCGCACCTTACATCAAGTGAATATTGCCTTGTCAAGTAAAAAACACTGACGCATAGTACAAACATCAGTCTTTCAGGGTATAAAAGACAGGTGTTTTCATGAACAAACAATACATCACAATATGCATGTAATACATACTAAGAATTCATGTTTTATCACCTAGTTAAACAGATAACATGATACTTTATTTGTTTGATAATAGGATCTATAAAATACTGCACCCAAAATAGTATAGCCGTTCAACCTCCTCCACAATTTGTGCACCGCCATTTCAATATTCACACCCATGTTGAACGTTTAAAAGCACTGCACTACCACGATCAAATAAAACCACTTGAATTACGGAAATTGCAACAATTATTTCCTCAACAAAAACATGCCTCCTGACACCGCTACTACACTAACCAGTCAATTCGCACAGATAAACTTTATAACGAAATGTCACATCTTAAAATCGGTTTTACTATCTAATTTTAACAGCCACAGACTATACACGACATCAGCGTTTGCAAACGCGAATATATAAAACAATAATGTAATCACATCGCTTAGTTTACTCATGTTATCAATAGCTTTGAATGTGTGCGGAAGTCACGTACTAATTGTCTAGTAACGAGCTGTGATTGCGATAATGATAATTCGGTGATAAACTACCGTAATTTGTCGGTAATCGAACCCGAATCGAATGAACGTAACGAATGTAGTATTTTAACAACTGCGACGGTATTCGATTTTTAGGGACGTTCACTAATAGAGCGTCTACCCTCGATTAATTTATTTACGCAAGTTACATCATTTAACGCAAATATATATTAATAATTTCAATAAAACACATTTAAAGTGAAATATTATTAATAAATTATTAGTTAACTTATTTACTATCTACTTCGCCTTTTGAACTATTAAAAGTGTTTACATGTGTACTACTCTAGAGACAAGACATATACTGATAATATTATATATTTACTCTAAACGTTACGTTAGGTGCGAGAGGTTCTGAGTTAGAATTCTGAGGTAAAAAGTTTTGGTTGGCCAGAAAACAGATGGTTGTTTGCCCTATGAAGATGTGACTTTCCGGATACATCATAATTCGTACGATCTTCTCGTTTCTTGTTAGAACTTATAATAGGAAAAAATTAAGACGTGTGATTACAAAAATGAGGTCTAAATATTTAAATAAGAAGGTCTAAATAAGAAACTGCCGAATTGAGCTCTGAACCAATTCTAAAAGTTGAGTGATAAAAATAAAAATAAAATTTCCAAGATAGAAAGTCTTATAAACATTTCATTTTATTATGTTTCTTCGGGCAGAAATTGGACTTACGACCGGAATAAAATAATAATATTCGGGGGTAGATGCGTTTTTCAATAGGTCAGCGCGCGCTGTCAAACGTTTGGGTGCCGCTCTTGCGAACTGGGTGTTTACAATTTTGTTGGTTTAATATGTGTCTGAAAATAAGGAATAATTCAGTGTTCGATTACTTGTTATGATTTTAATATTTCCGTGAATCGAGTGCGTTTTTACAAAGAATTTCATTTTCCTAAAAGCAGTGTACTTCGTGGTGAAGTGAGGTATTCCCTCTTTTATGGGCGCCTTTTATCCCCAATTACGATACAAACTGAAACACCATAATAATAAGCACTGTTAGGCACTGGAATGGGGGTGTGTATTTAGAGTTTTAGACCTGGTTAGCTATATTGGAAGTGAGTATCGACATGTTTGCCCTCTGTCCTTGTTACACCATCCGTTATCGCACTAGCACTATACCGGAGAAAATTGAAATCTTCACGGTAATCGATAACGAATGATTGCTAAGTTAAAAGGGCGATATGGGGGCTTATTCGCACATAGGTGACATATTAACGATAACTTTTTTTCCAACCAATTCGATACAATTTGCGACTAATATAATAAATTTTGACCGACCGATATTAGTCATAAACTAATTCTAATTTTTATAAAACATGCAAACAAAAACATTTTAATAAAACACTTGTAACGGTTTAAAACATGTTTCGGATGCTTTAATGTTGTCATGGTCAGGGGGGGACTGATGATAGAGGATGTCCTTTATGTCAAAGTAAAAACTGCTTCGCTAGCGCCATCGTAGTCCAAATATATTGTCAATAAGTCAACTATTACATTTCGCGTTTTAAACCGTTAAAATTAGTTTTGAATTAGGCGAATTATATCAGGAATTGCCTACCGTTACTTTCTTGTAATCGATAACACATTTTTGTATGTAATCAGATCTCGTTAAGAATATCCCCCTATGGAAACACACGTACGACAATTCTCGTCATTAATTATGACTGACGTCATCAACATTAGTTCCATATTATTTATCACCAGCGCCCATTGTTCATTTAGTCACGATCGGCAGAATTTCTTTTAGACCTCACTATCTTAACACTTAACACAAGGATATCGTTCAAATGTCATAATTTTTGTCAACATTTTAAATGAATACTTGGCATCGTAAAATTTATGTTACATTACAATTCTAATAGACAACATTTGGGTGCCATAAAAAAGGGCTCTTACAGAGACCTAAAAAGTGCGAGTTGATCATTAAAAGAGGAATCATTCTTTCATACAATTATTTTGGTTTCTTAAACCCAGCGCACGCTACAGAAGCCCCCCTAAGAATCAATCAATTTCTACGTGTATTCTTCATGTTTGTCGATTAAAGCCAACACTGTTTCAGGAATTTCATGTCCCAGATATGGGTAACATAATGGTTTAATGTTATATGTTCAAAATGACAGGGATGTCAACTATTATACCATTTTTTTTATATCTCACCCCTAGAACAGAACGACTTTTATACAGTTTTGACATATGCTTGTATAGAATTAATTGTACGTTTAACACACTTGTATAAGTAAATGGGGAAAATCATAGAATAACAAATTTCCTTGCAAGCATTCGTTTACATAATAATTTAAAAAGCTTTTCATAGCAATCCAACTGTCGATTTTACACTGTGGCTTTACATTATTTTACGCAGTTGTTCAAGCGTACAATGCGATTAGAACGAACGCAATCCACTTAAGATATTATTGTATCAATACAGAGGAGTGAGAAATCTTCAGCTATTTGTCTAATAACTATTTGTGTAGGATTTAACTTTTCCTGTTGATAATTTACATAAACTTGTTGACATAGGTGAATAGTAATTGTGTAAACAGTTGGACTAAAAATTATATAAACTAGAATATCTGCCTTCAAGTCAGATCAACTACTTGTCTGTATATAAAATCGACACATATCTATATCCGCATTAATATAAAGGCACAGATGTGTTCCTCCACAAACCCCCGGGGTAGGCGGGGTTAGGCTTTTTAGCCTTATGGAACTGTGACTTTGCTATTAGAATAACGCAGGCGTCTTGATGTTGATTCTGCGCACGTTGCATAGCACACTTTCATTATAAATTAACTGATACGAGTAAATTGAGTCGTATTTATAATTCTTTTATCTTTATAATTTCCTTCATTTATTGCTTTTTTGGTGCGAAGGGAATTACGCGGTGGTTCATAATCAGATTATATTATTTAAGTAATCGCAAAATTCTTGCCTAATACGTAATCTTCTTAGGTATATATATTAGAAGTGATGAGCACTGATTTTTGTTTAATTAATTTGTTTTATATAATAATTTAAACGTGATCATTTTACATATTTCTACTCTACACATATTTTTAGAAGTACGTAGTCGTACGTAAAAACTGAAAAATGTCACCGCAAAACCTTACAAATCATGTGTTTTGTTTCAGGTATCATAAAAAAGTACTGAAAACAAAAAAAAATAAAAGAAAATTTTTGCATATTTTTAATATCAATAAATGATAATAAATATGTACTTGAAATACTTAAAAAAGAACTCAGAAATTAGTATTGTCGTCTGCCTAGTCGAAACCTTGTGTGTGCATTCCGACTTGCATTTAGCCGATTATTATTTTACTTTAAGGTGTTTTTAGTTCGTATCTATGTGAAGCAATTATTTGTCCTAATTTGGATGAAATCTAGACTCAAAAACCTTTTTTGGCGTGTTTTTAACAGTAGACTATCTATCCACACGTCCGTATCTAAAGTCAAGACAAGATTATCTAGAAGCAATACGTTCAACATCAACATTTCTTTAGTTATTTAAACAATATGACGTGCAAACACACACGACAGCTTGACTAATATGGAATTTCATTGTTTAACAAGCGCCTATTCATAACAGCAGCCATTAAATGTGTCCGTTAATAATTATAATTTTCGTAGTTGTCATGTCATGTTTCTGAACAAAATATCGAAGAAATAACGATTTACGATATAATGCGTTGTTATAACCTAATTATTAGCCTAAATAAATTTCAATAGATATTACATTTTATACAGTACTAGCTGTGCCCGCGACTTCGTTCGCGTGGAATAGTGACTTGCGGTAGAATTTTCATATATTAAGGCTGTTTATTAATTTATGTATGGGCGCATTTAAGGCCAATCTATGTTGTAACTGCTACTTTGCCGCAATACTCTCACCTCACATCACTCCTACTGTACGTCCCACTCTCACTCTCACTCCCATTTCCACTTCCACTCCCACACCCACACCCACACCCACTCCTATTCCCAAAAAGCCAAAGAAGAAAGTTTCATTGTTCTAGCTTCAAAAACCACGAATATCCATACAATTTTTACCCCGTTAGTAAGGATAATCATTACACAGTAGTTTTTTATATCATGCAGACAAAACGTTAACCTCTATCGTGGATACCCTCAAATGCCAGCAGGTTACCACGACTGACAGATAATAAATTTAAAAAAAATATGACACAGGATGACTTTAACCGACATCCACAGCGTTCCGTCCCTCTAACCAATTGAGCTACCGCGTCCTACTCATCATCGTCGAATTTTTGCAACCTATTAATACATGCACCTCTCTCGCATATAAAAAAAATCTATGTGTAATCAATTTTTAATTTATATATTGCCATCATGTGTAAGATATTAAAGTTTTAAAAAATATTGTTGGGTCTCCGTTTGTATTAATAATGATTATAAATATCTAGTACGCACCGCTGATGGTAAATACGGGGTTCCCGTTGATGTGGGGCGAATAATCTTCGACCTTTTCTGATGGCTTGATGACATCAGGCGCTCCGACCATGCCTGGAAAGATACAAAAAATGATTTGAGAACCTTTATATAATCCACTTAAATATAAAAATCTGCTAAATTCGATTGTTTTTCTATTCCATTGTCCGCGTGTGGCCTGTCATTTTTATATAGAAACACAAAGTAAAATCTTTTATTCTCTAAATACTGTATTAATAATTATCACACATGTTAACTTTTAGTCGTGACATGTTACAGTGTTAACGAGGCGTAACAAGGCAATTTTCGTGTTAACAGAAAATCCAAAACCTAATTTTTACTAGTACTACTGTTCAGATATTTAACTAATAAAAGTCTTATCTCACATGTTTGTAATATTATAAAAAGCCAATAATAAACTAACAGCAATAATTTTCCCAACTAAATGTAAATGTTATCGTTAAGAAAACTAAAATATAATAACGACAACCAACAGTGATAAGATTGTTTAAAATAACAATTAAAGGCGAAAGCGGGTTTAGAATATAGAGCGCTCTTTGAAAATGTTTCCACTTGATGGCACTAAAATAATAATATACAAGATACATAATGTAAGAAAGAAATAGATTTTTATTATAATTTAATTTTATGTCGTTTAGTCATGTTAAGCGTATTAATCCGTCAAATCGAAAATTATTTATTCATGTAAAACTCTAAATTTACATTTACTACTAGTTGCCAAATTAAGGGCGTAGAACGAACGAGAAAAACTGGCGAGAAACTCGCCGCCACTCCTTTTATAGTCAAGTTCCTTACGGACTTAATGTGTACATCTCTTTTTAGAGCGGGTACCGCCAAATCCTAAGTATTGTTGTCATTTAAATATTGATTTATCTTATAATTACTCTTTCCAAGAAGTTTTTGTTTAACATACAATTTAAATTTATAATCAATTGTTACATAATATTTGTTTTTGTCCTTTTTTTGTAAGTCTCATAAGGATGCCTGTGAAGGTAAGGACCTATCCTATACTTTTTCCATATTTGGCTTTGTTGTCGAGTAATTTTTTAAGCAAATGTTATAAAAGGAACCTCCTCAATCTCTTCACAGAGATACATAAATGTAAAAATTGAAGACAATATACCCACAATTAAATATGAACGAATTATGTTATAAAAACATTCTAATTGTATCAGATAATTTTTGTTAAGAAAATACATAGATAAAGCTAAGAGTTTATTGTTTGTTTGAACGCGCTAATCTCAGGAACTACGGGTTCGAATTGAATTTCTTTTTGTGTTAGTTACAGCATTTTTCGACGAAGACAATAGTCTAAATAAAACATCGTCATGTGACTAATAGGGGCGAAGATACAGCAGGAAATGTGACAAAAATTAGAAAAAACTATTCATCATTATGAGTTTTCTAGGCGTACGCTACAAAAACGGTACAATATACCAAAAAAATATGTATGAAAAATTGGTTTCCTTTATATATAAAATCTATCTAACCGCAAGAACGACGGGAACGGATGCGACCGATGTCGTATAAAATAACTATTCCATGCGGACGAATTCGCGAGCATACTAGCTAGTTTAAAATAATGCTATGAGCACAATCGCGCTCTATACATTATATATCAAGGAGATAACTGATAATGAAATACGGTTCTACATACCAAAGTATTTATCAATAGATTCGGCGCTTCAAACACAGATTATTATTCCATAAATAGTTATTTAGTGCTCGCTGGAATTCTAGATTAACGATGGACTAGGTGTTGTCCTCGACTTTGTTCGTTTGTGGTTTGCATGTTAATTCAATATTGATCTTGAAAATGACGTACGATGAGAGATTCAGTTATAATTTTGAGATAACATTTCTACAATTAAGTTTTTATTGTAAAGAAGGACGAAATGCTAGTTTGGTATATGAATGTTTTCCAATATAATTTCTATCATCAGCCAAGAGTTTGTAATAAGTAGAAGTACTATCATCAATAATTTGTTAGAAGTAGTCGATGAAGGGCGCCCACTTTCGACGGGCTCGCTGGTATAATGGTAGCAGTGCAATTAGTAGCTAACAGTCAACGGGTCGTGGATTCGAGCCTTATCGGGTCCAACATTTTTCTAACCAATTCGGAATAGTAAATCTGGATATTAATTGGGTTGAAGAAATATCGTAATTTTGTCTAGTCACGAACCACAGATAGAAAAGAAAATTTTACTCTGTCAAAAGTCTATGGAATTTACGAACATAAGCCATGCATCTAATTTGGATGCTGTAAGGCCATTTGTCTGTCATACCGATCTGCACTTCAGGTTCGATGCTAAACAAAGAGAAAAATTGGGACATTTCTATTCAGCGGCCTCTATCTAACAAGTTAAGGACACGCATGGTGATACCATACAACTTGACGTAGGTCAACTTATTTAGGGCGGATTATTATAAGTGGATTGACCCATCTAAAACGACGAGGTCTGTAAATTTATATTTACAAAATAACTTCGCTTCCGTATAAAGTCCTTGAATTATAAATGAGAGAAACAAGAAGGTTCAAAAATACTGATAGCCAATTTATAGTCTTTCATTTGTACTAATATAATAGAGCTAAAGAGTTTGTTTGTAGACAGTAGATGACATCGCGAGTAACAGCTACATTTTATAAATATGAAAAGGTTGTTTGCCCAAAATGACTGTTTCACGCGGACGAAGACACGCGCACAAAAAGTCAGATTATAAAGATGTTTTCTCTCTTCTGTTCCTCTAGCGATTCTATGCGAATCTAGGACCTCTTACGATATCTACTTTAAACCTAACCTATTTTTCTTTTAAAAATTGACTTATTGATCCCCCCGTCAGACCGCAGTGTGGGGTGACGCAATACTTTAGAAAGAATCCTAACTTCAACTCAAGGAACAACTCAACTGTTTTCTTTTAAGAAAATATGTTTGTAAGTGTGTTCAAATGAAGCAGGGTAAACAGGAAAACACAATTGTAACGAGAAGTGTAACAATGAATTTATCGATTGAATAGGCAGTAAAAGTGGGAATTATCAGCGTTTTACAACATTATTGGAGCGATTACACGCTTTATTGTACAATTTATATCCATAACTTAATTAACTTACATTTCTGTTAGTTTTACATTTTTGTCGGTATGGCAAGATTAAGATTGTTTAAGATATTATGAAAAACAATATAAGTACTATTTGATATATAAATGGTATCTGCTATAGAAAACCTATTAGTAGAAAATTAAAAGCTAAACTGTTAGTTAGATCTTTGACGAGCTAATTGGTAGTAAACACATTATCATTATGTGTTTTGCAACAAAATATTATTTAAATTCACTATATATTTAAAAAGTTTTTTCTGTTTTACATATCTGTGTCTAAAAAGTTTGTGTCTTTCACAAAGTGAAACGATGTGAAACGCGCAATATATTAGTAAAATTTATTTTACTGCTTTGCAGCAGCCGTGCTCACGGGGAGGCCACGGTTGCTGCAAATATATCGCTTTAGAAAACCGTAAAAGTGTTTTATTTCAATAGTAGCATACTATAGCATAAATTACAGACATTTACTAAGTACTGTGGACATATTTGAATTTTTAAGGTCATAAATTATACCTAAGTAGTTAAGTAGAAAAAGTAGATTTTAAAAGACCAAACCGCTTAAAGATATTCTAGATAAGAAACAAGTTTCGTTTAATTTTATATCTGAAATAAAATTTAAGCTAAGGGTTTATCTATTCAAATTATATCGTTGACGCTTATGTACCTACTACAAAAAAATATTTTATTGATAGAGAATTTAATATATGCAAAATATAATAATTATGGCCAATTATATGAAGCTAATGAACTCCGGTCAAACTTGTTTTGGGCAAAAAAAGGAACCGAATTTTAATTAACTGTTTCTTCTAAGATACACTACTCGTCCGCGTAGAATAGTTATTTTATCCATCCAAATTTAGGAGGTTTTGCAAACCTCTTCTTCATCTTTATAAATTTAAACTATTACCCATGCCGTCTGTCGCATCCCGTCGCTCGAGGCTCGTCATTCGTGTCCCGTCGTTCTTGCAAGTTAGTCTTAAAAGATAGGCATATAGTGTCGCGGACATTTTTCTAGATCATTTAAAAAGGAATATTTTTTTCATATATATTTCTTGGGTGTCTTGGGTGGTTTCGCAGCGTACGGATTGGAAACCTCTAAGATGAATAATTTTCCTAGTGTTTTCCGCATTTCCCGCTGTTTCTTCGCTCCTATTAGTCACATCTCGTGCGTGCATATAACCTTCATCGACAAATACTCTAACCAACACAAAACAACAAAACAGGAAGTTTTTAATTCGAACCAGTAGTTCCTGATAAAGCGTGAACATACAAACAAACAAATTCTTCAACTTTATATATTAGTATATATAGATTTAATTAAATTGGCCGACTGGATCAATGAATCTTACTCATAAGGGAAAGAAAATTCTATTATCATATTGACGTCATATGACATGATATTTTCACGGAAAACAAAGACGATTGTTGTGGGAATCGGACTTCGGACGCTTCAGTTTATACTTGTAATGCGACATCTAGTCTAGTAGTACCTATAGTCTAATAAGGTCCGTAAAGTAAAGCAAATTGCTTAAAAATAATATAAGATTTAAGGGTGCTGATCTGTACAACAAGTTGCCTGGAAGTATAAAAAAGCCCATTCAATTAACATCTTTAAAAATTCCATATTTTAGAATAAGTTTAACAATTAACTTAAATTAGTTAAATTTAACACTGTTGCGTTTAATTGAAGTACCGATGCATGTAAACACGTTTAAGTTTTAATTAAGTGAATATGTACTCAGAAAAAATAAATTCTTTAAACCGAAGTCGGGAGTTCAATACTCGGTCGTGCACCACAATATTCATCTCTGTAAACATAAACTATTTTGTGAAACTAGCCTTTTGCGAATATTTGCGGCCTATCTACCTTCTTAAGCCTTTGTCCCAGCTGTGGGAACTGTTAAAGACAACCTTCTTACCATTTAAAATTTTTTGTTTAATTGGTCTTTAATACAACT